AAATAGGTCTGGAGATGTAGCTCAGTGGTAAAATACCCTGGGTTCAATACCTAGTACAAAAAAAAAAAAAAACTATACTAAATATGCTGTACAGAATAGAGATCACCTCTGCTTGGATGATCAGTGAAGTAGAATGATCCCACCTAGATCAGACATAGTAGTGTACCCCTGTAATCCCAGCTACTCAAGAATGATCCCACCTTGAAAGATCAAGTTGGAGGATAGGCAGAGAGAGAAGAGTGAGAATATGTGGGGTGGAAAATATAGAAGGCCTTTTGAAGACACCAGAAAGGCCATTCTCTGCAACTATGTCTTCTATCTGACTCTTGATTCCTGAAATCTAACCATTCTTCTAGGTTAAGGTTAGATACTCATCAATAAACACATACCTGGAAAAGCTAGCACTTGAAGCCATAGTCAGTCCTTTGTATTCTATTCTGAATAAGTTTCTAACTTTATTGAGAAACTTTAATAAGAGACACATGAAGGCACTGGCCACCTAGAGCTGGGGAGAAGGCCCAAGCAGGGAGAAGGAAAGTAAGAAACAGGACTACAAAGGACATAGGCAGAGTGACTCCCCTATTTGTGGAGCATACATTACATAAGTTTTCTATGTCGACAAAGTGGTATAGAGTTTATACTATGGCAGCATGCTTCCTGACTCACTCTGTCCATGTTAAAATGGCTCACAGTTCTGTTTCATATCTACTGCAGCCACGTGTCTTGACTTCTAGGAGGTAGAGAAAACCTGATAACCTCCTCTTCTAACACAGATCATACTAGGGGACTAAGTCAGGCTTCACGTAATTCAGTGCTGCATATGATTCTCTTTCATTCTACATGAAACTTCCCTAAGTTATCCACACCAGCCCTAAACTATGTAAAGGGGTTGAAAAGAATGGAAACTTTTTGCTGTGAACAACTTCAGCACTAAATCTGTATACCTGTTATCTCTCTCTCTCTCTCTCTCTCTCTCTCTCTTGGTAGTACTGGGGATTGAACCCAGGGGTGCTCTACCACTAAGTGACATCCCCAGCCCTTTTTGTTTTGAACCACAGTTTTGATAAATTGCTTAGGGCCTCACTAAATTGCTCAGGCTGGCCTCAAACTTGTGATCCTCTTTTCTCACCCTTGCAAACTGCTGGGATTACAGACATGTACCACTGCACCCACCTAGGCCTATCTCTTAATGATATAATAATAGCAGTTAAAATTTTCTTATTTATTCCTCATATAAGTATTTATTGAGTATCTGCTATTCTGGAATTTATATCCTAATGGGAAGAGACAAACAAATAAGTTAATAATCAAATATATAGGGTGCAATGGTAGTAAGTACTATAGAAAATAAAACCAGAAAGGAGGGTCAGTGGTGGGGAAAGGTGATCTAAGAAGCTTTTGCTCTGAATTAGATGAGAAGCCACAGGGGTTTTGTATTGAGGACTAACATGATCTGACATACACACACACACACATATATATATGTATATAAGAGCTTGTGCTGGGTATGGTAGCACAAGTCTATAATTTTAGCAGGTAAGAAGGCTGAGGCAGGAGGATCACAAGTTCAAGGAACTGTGATTAGGCAAAGTTGGGGGAGAGGCATAGCAGCAGGAAAGATGGTGGAATAAGATGTACATCATTACCCTAGGTACATGTATGACTGCACATATGGTGTGACGCTACATCATGTACAACCAGAGAAATGAAAAGTTGTGCTGCAATTGTATACAATGAATAAAATGCATTCTGCTGTCATATATATCTAATTAGAATAAATAAATAATTTTTTTAAAAAAAAAGTGGAGAGGGCAAAGGCTGTTTAGATTCTAGATTTATTTAAATGGTAGAATAGAATAGGATGTGAGGTTTAAGAGGAAAAAAGAAGTAGAAGTTATGTTAACTCCTAGGTTTTATGGCTAAGCTTAAGGAAGGATGAAAATCATTTTCTGAGCAGGTGAATATGTATGTGTGTTCAGAAGGGGTTAGGAAGGAGGCAGATGAATTTTTAATTTGGTTTAGGATATGCAGATTTAATTAGTCTAAGTAGAACAAGATGAAGACATCAGTTTGCAGACGGTCTAAATGTCTAAGCTGGAGACAGGAATTCAGAATGGAGCAAGGTACCAAGGGCATCTAAGGACCCCAGCTTGGATAAGATCCCTTAGGGAGTGAGTGATGCTAACAAGAGGAGTGCTCTGAGGTCTCAGCCTGGGGTTTTCCATCATTAAATGCTGGAGAGATAAGAAAGAAGAAATTGGCAAAGGAGACTGGAAATAAGCAGAAAAGTATTAAGAAAACCAGGAGACAAGAAGAAAAAACTCAAAGAAGGAAAAAGTCAACTGCATAAGCCCTGCTAATATATTGAAAGGATAAGGCCTAAAATGTGACCAAAGAATTTTAAAATGTGGAGATCAATGGTGACCCTGACAAGAGCTATTTCTGTAGAAGACTTAGGATAAAAGCAAGGCTGGAGGGTTTAGGAAGGAATTGGGAGGAGAGGAATTGGAGACTGCAGGCATAGATAAGATCTTTTGAGAATCTACAGAGAACAAAGAAACAAGACTATAACTAGAGAGAGATTTAGGGTCAAGGATGGGTATTTTTTAAAAGACAGGAGATGTTGTTATCAGATTTTGCAATGCTGTGACCAAAACACCCAACAAGAACAACTTGGAAGAGGAAAAGTGTGTTTGGGGCTCAGGATTTCAAGAAATCTTAGCCCATATTCAGATGACTCCATTGCTGTGGGCCCAAGGTGAGACAGCACCTCATAAGGGAAGAGCCAGCAGAGGAAAACTGCTCAGCTCATGAAACAGAGAGAGGGAGAGAAAGGGCCACAAGGAAGATGCACCCTTCCAAGGCCAAACCCCAGTGACCCACCTCCTCTGGCCACATCCCACCTGCCTACATTACTACCCAGTCTGTTCAAGCTAAAATGAAACAGATTTCATTTCTCCCAATCTGATCATGTCACCTCATTCCTGCATTAACAGGAGTTTTGGGGGACACCTCATCACCAAACCATAAAACCTGGTACTTTATGGAGGCTAAGCATAAAGGTTATGTAGTACTTTATATTGGATAGAGTCATTGCCCTGAAGTATTTCAATAGGCCAACATTTCTAAAGTCTGTTCAATTACATCCATTAACTTGTAGGAAAAACTGTTATCAGAGATGATTAACAAAATCAGTTTTAGAGGCTTAAAGTAGAAACAGTAGTACAGGAGGAGGAAGAGAGAAGGTTAAAGGAAATAAGATGAAGCCAATTCTTGATCAGGAATTAAATTAAATAGGCGGCTTACTGATCCTGATTACTCTATATCAGAATAGAATCACAAGGGAGTTTAAAATTCTTTTCATAGAATACTTCAAGAAAATGACAAGCACATGTGCTATAGTTTGGATCTTAAATAGCCCTCAAAGGCCTGTGTGGTAAATAAAGGCTTGGTCCCAGCTTGGTGCTGCGGGGAGATGGCGGAAACCTTAGGAAGTCAGGCGTAGTAAGAGGTCTTTAGGTCATAGAGGGCATGCCCTGAGGACAGTAGGACCCCAGCCTCTTCTTTCTTCTCTCTCTTTCACTATCTGGTTATGAGGTGAGCATAACCTGTCACATACTCCCATCCTGATATACTATGCTCCCCAACCACTCACTAGAGGCTTAAAAGCAATAGGTGCACCCAATCGTGAACTGGAACCTTTAAACTCTCTAAAACCATGAGTTAACCCTTTTCTCTTTATCATTGATTAACTCGGGTATTTTTCTATGGCAATAGAAAGCTAATAATACACATATCCTTGTGACTGTCATCAATGAATTCATCACAAAAGCCATACATTTTCTTCATATCTAATGAATTCTCTTTAAAAATAGATATTTCAGCCAGGTGCAATGGAACATGCCTGTAATTCTGGCAGTTTCTGAGTTGAAGCAGGAGAATTGCAAGTTTGAGGCCAGCCTTAGCAATTTAGTGAGACCCTGTCTCAAAAAATAAAAAGAACTAGGGAAATGGCCCAGTGGTAGAGCATACCTGGGTTTAATCTCCAGTACTAGAAATAACTAATTATTTTAAAATAATATATTTTGATTTCTTAATAACAGCAATAACAAAAACAACATAGTATGAGCACCCGTATGCAGCAGACACCATGATAAGTACTTTACATTATTCCTTGAGTCAAACCTTATTCCACGAGCATTCTGATTACCATTTTATAGAGGACTGTGAACTCAGAGGAATCAAGAAAAATATCCCAAGTCACATAGCAGAAGCAGCAAAGCTGAACTTGGCAGATCTGCAGACCTTCAGGGTTGGATAATGAATGGGTAAAAGATGAGCTTTCAACTAGAGATGATCACTAGCTACATCAGGGAATTATCGTTAAGCTTAAAATAGACTTTTTGACAATTCAGTCAGAATCAGGAAAACTTATAGAAAAGTTGTTATTCAAATACAGTGTAGCTCAAAATATACTCCACTGTCATGTATATCTCAAAAACAATAAAATAAATACATATTTTTTAAAAAATCAAGAGTAGCTGGGTGTGTATCTCAGTGGTAAGAACTTGCCTAGTTTTTATTCACGAGGCCCTGGGTTCGATCCCAGCACCATACATACACAAAAAAGATTAAGTCCAGAGTACGCTTCACTATAGGAATAACCGTCTGTATTACTAACGGTAACACATTAAAAAAAAAAAAATTCTACTCTCTCCCTCTTGAACTAAGTGTTTGTCTCTGAGTGCATTTGGATGGAGATCAGAAAGGGACCCAAGAATAAAAAGAACTCCAGGAAACACCTACTCCTTATTGTTACATCAGGGAGGCTGTCCTTTGAAGTCTCTCCCTAACAGCTTTGCTTGGGTTATGATGTTTTTCTACATAGGACAATAAATCATTTCTCTGAGATCTACTACTGGAAGAAGGAGAAACAATCACACACCAGTGTATCTGCTAAATTGTTTTTATGTTAGTTTGTTTTAAATTGTGCTTATTACCTGGATCCACATCAGAAGAGCAAGGAAAAGAATGGCATTCCACAGAACTAAGAGCCTCGCTGTTGGCCTCTTGGCTGGGTCTCTGCAGCACATAATCTCTTATGTCGCTTGCTGATGGTAAGTCCAAAGCACAACTCTCTCCTGAGTGGCTGCCTGGACTGGCTTCCTGGGCTGCCATCATCCTGGGGAAAAACATAACAATTCAACACAAAAGGCACTAATAGCAGAAGACTTCATTAGAGCTATTGCTTGAAGAATCTTAAAGTCAAACAACAGTAAAACCAGAATAATCTCTTTTTGCCTGTTATTAATGGTCTTCCTTATTTTTGCTTCAGACCCACCATTTGTTTACCATGTTTTTGTCATCATGGGAAAGAAACACTCTCAGCTAAAAGACACCATGAATCATTTCAGCTGGAAAACAGGCTATATATTTGGAAATAGGAAAGGTTCAATCACAAACCACATCACCACTGAAATACTATATAGGACTGATTCAAGGGCCACAAGAATATTTGATAGCTGGGTGCAGTGAGGCATGCCTATAATTCCAGCAGCTTGAACACCTGAAACAGAAGGATCACAAGTTCAAAGCCAGCCCCAGCAAATTAGCCAGGCCCTAAGCAACTTAGTGAGACCCTGTCTCAAAATAAAATATAAAAGGGCTAGGGATATAGCTCAGTGGTAAAGCACCCCTGGGTTCAATCCCCAGTACCTTAAAATTTTTTAAAAAAGAATTCTTTGATGAGGAGAAATGTTCATAATATAATAAATATGGAAAGGTTTTAAAGTTTGATCTGAATTTTATAAAACAAAATATTGTGTGTGTGTGTGTGTGTGTGTGTGTGTGTGTGTGTGTGTGTTTTAAAGAGATGTAAAGCTAGGGGCAAAAAGTCCAAAAGGATATGTTACAAATTAAGTGCAATGCCATGAAGGCAATTTGCATGCTCCCCTGTGGCTTATTCAAACATGCAGTCAGTTAGTTAGCATATCAGGCTTGATGCCAAGCATGGAGGATACAAAAGGTGAATTTAACAGACACTTCTCTCAAGGAGCTCATAGTTTGGGGTGATCCAAACACAGAGACTTATTATGTTAACATAGTGAGTTAAGGCAGAGCAGGCCCAGAAGGGGGCCATAGTCTTTCTGGAAGAACTTACCACCACCATGGGGCAGTCCAGGCTATGGCTGTGATCAGAAGCAAGCATGAACTCAAAAAGAACCAGTTTGGATAACCACATGTGACATGGGGTATTGAGAGTTTCAAGGGAGAGACAAGTATTGATCACACAAGGAGTGGGTAGGGACAAACACTGTTGTCTCAGCTGGATTGTCAAGGAGCCCTCCTCCTCCTGGTATTGAAGTAAGGCCTTGCTGCTGTCAGCCAGCAACCTAGAATACAAAAACTTTCTGAGCTCTTGAGGCTTTGAAGGTGAATTGCTGGATTCAGTATTTAGCATTTCTTGTGTTCCATACCACTCTTAGTCTATGTTTACTTGTGGGGCACTGGATTCTTACTAGAGGGCTCTCTGCAGTGTACCCAACCCAGTCTACCTCTCTATGAAATAACTATAGGCCTGGGCAGATCCTGGACCTTTGCTACTCTCTGCCTCATAAGTTGCTATCATCAATAAATTTTATTATGTCCAGTACCAGGTGTTATGAATGCTACCAGCTTTCTTGAATCATGCAGAGAATTTATGTAGTCATAATATTCATGTTTGGTAGCTGGACAGCAGATAGATTGAGATTTAAGCCTGCTTAATTATGGTAGCAGGCAGTCTTGTAATAGGAAATCATTCACCTATACAGACCGGGTGAGAAGAAACCATGTGAACCAGGTCAGAGCCCTACAGGTCAAGAACAGGAGGGAGATTAAGAATACATTTAAGCCAGGCATGGTGATTGAAGCCTGTAATCCCAGCAGCTTGGGAGACTGAGGCAGGAGGATCACAAGTTCAAAGCCAGCCTCAGCAATTTAGTGGGGCCTTAAGCAACTTGATGTGGCTTAGTAGTTAAGCACCTCAGGGTTCAATCCCTGGTACGGAAAAAAAAAAAAAGAATCAATCATAAAATAGAACTTAATAACTGAATGAACAGAGAGGTTAAAGAGAAACTGAGTTAATAAGGAGAGACAATTTCAGTGGCTCGTTTTATTATCAACTGAATTAGGTTCAGACTGGGAGGATGCAGTGGTCCAATTGAGGAATACTACACTGCTATTAAAAATGATAATCAGAGCCCAGGGAAGTAGCTCTAGGGCAGAACATTCACCTAGCATGAGCCCTGAGTTCAGTCCCCAACACAGGACATGGGGCAGGGCTGTTAATCAGTACTTAAAAGATCTCAAAGACATGTTTGAATAAAAGAAGCAATTTCAGAATAATGTGAGCTGCTGTGACATGTGACTAAATCAGTCAGGGTGACTCCAGGTGAACTGGGCTGGCACGAAATAATCACACAGACAAACAAAATACCTTTTTCTTTGGGTTCAATGATGGTTCCTCAGCCACAGCACCCACAAGAGGGGCAAGACAGGCAAGGAAAAAAAAAAAGGGAGAAGCAGGTTCTGAGATTTTTTATTGAGGGGAAGACACTTAAGAAAATTCCACCCCAAATAAGGCATGGGGTCAGGTTTCTGAGGGTTGAGTCTAGCTTCGGGATGTCTTTAGGTCAGCAGATTGACTGACATCTTGGAAGGCCACGCCCATCTCACTGGGTAACGCCCACCCCAGAGCTGCAACTCTCTTGTGGGGCAGGGGCAAACCCACATGCATGGCATGTACCCTTTACTCCAGACTTAAAGAGGTGCTTAGCTCCTGTTCAGGGCAGCCCCGACAGTGAGCAGCATAATAAGAGTACTTGACATTTACTGAGTGCTTGTTAGATTCCAGCCATAGTCCTAAGAGCTTCATCTGCAATAAACCTACAAGGCAAGTAATTCTATTATTACCCTCATTTACAGCCAGACTTAGAAACAGCTACACTAGGATGAGCCCTGCTTGCAGGCACAGCCCCAATGCTGTAGCCTAAACTCCACATGACAGCAAAGACAGGAAGCATACAGAAACAAATCAACACTGAAACCTGGGGAGATCCTCCTTGTTTGCGGACACCCAGTCGGTCACCCAGTCATGTGCTATTGTTGACATGCCTTCACTTAGAGAGGGAGCCAACATATCAGCTGATTTCTCCTGAACCCAGTGGAATGATCAAGGTTCCCAAAGAAGCCAGAACGTCCTGTCTATTCACACGTGCTGTATTAGTCAACCAACTCTGAAGTTTCAGCAAAGACCTCTGCGTCAGGAACCTTTGGCTTCCCCTTCTCCTCCAGTTATCTAACACTCTGCTCTGTGGACTTCCAGAAGGGCACAAACAGGTCATTGAATGATACTGGCATATCCTGCCTGCTTTCAAAGGTGCCTTGAGTGTACAATCAGTGACTTGAAAAATTGTGCTCTATATGTGTAATATGAAATGAATTGCATTCTGTCATTGTGTATAACAAATTAGAAATAACTTAATTTAAAATGATAAAAATATAACCAAAAGGTTAAAAAAAAAAGTTGCCTTGAGTAAACCATCAACTGAGAGTGTGATGAAATAAAAGGAATCAGCCAGGCATAGTGTGGCACATGCCTATAATCTCAGTTACTCTGGGGGGAGGGGATGGGCTGAGGCAGGAGGACAGCAAGTTCAAGGTCAGCCTCAGCAATTTAGCAAAATCCTTCCCAATTTAGCAAGACCCTATCTCAAAGTAAAAATAAAAGTAGCTTGGTGGTAAAGCGTCCCTGAGCCAAAAAGTAAAGAGAAAGAAAATGAATCCGTTCTGCAACAATTAGCATAGTGATGTGATATATATTCTTTGCTTTTAGAAACGCTTACATTAAAAGCTAAATATAGCCAGGCACAGTGGCATATAATATATATAATATAACCACTTGTAATCCCAGCAGTTCAGGGAGGCTGAGACAGGAGGATCGCAAGTTCAGATCCAGCCTCAACAACAGTGAGGCACTAAGGTGCTCAGTGAGACCCAGTCTCTAAATAAAAGACAAAATAGGGCTGGGCATGTGACTCAGTGATTAAGTGCCTCTGATTCAATCCCTGGTACCCACCCACTGCCAAAAAAGCCAAATAAAAACAAACTGGCACTGGCCCCCCCAAAAGAGGAGGAAAAGTCTGCTGAAAGGTAAATACTTTTAATTACAAAATAAGATCTGTACATATTCTTCTTCTAAATATATTGTTTGGGAAGCAGTGTATATGTACAGGAAAAAGCAAGCAGTGAGACAGAGGAGCCCCTTCCTGTAGTCTGAACAGCCTGATAACAAGAAGGATGCAATGATTATCCTTGGACCAAAACTCCCCCCCGCCCCCCCCCAGGGCTGGGTATCAAACCCAGGGCCTTGCACATGCTAGGCAAATGTTCTACCATTGAGCTAAACCCCAGCTCAGCCCTCTCTTACCCAAATCTTTTGATATGTTTCAACTTCTCCCAGCAGGAATACTTATCTTTCACTCTTAAAACTTCCCACCAGGCACAGTGGCACCCACCTGTAATCCCAGCAAGGCAGGAGGATCTTGAGTTCAAAGCCAGCCTCAGCAACTTAGTGAGGCCCTAGGCAACTCAGTGAGACCCTGTCTCTAAATAAAATAAAATTTTTTTTAAAAGGCTGGGGATGTGGCTCAGTGGTTAAGAGCCTCTGGGTTCAATACCTAGTACCATGAAAAGAAAAAAAAAAAACTTCCCTAATTACACAATCTAAATAAATATTCTTTTTCTTTTTTTTTTAAAGAGAGAGAGAGAGAGTCTTAATATTTATTTTTTAGCTTTTTTTGGCGGACACAACATCTTTGTATGTGGTGCTGAGGATCGAACCCAGGCTGCACGCATGCCAGGTGAGCGCGCTAACGCTTGAGCCACATCTCTAGCCCCAAAATATTATTTTTCAATACTAGAAGTCTACTTTGTCCTGGAGTTGGGCATAAGAAGTCCCTAATTACATAAAAGCCTATTTACCAGAAGAAAGCAGCCACTATTCTATTACTTTATAGATTCTTACAACCTACAAATACAAGTCCATAAGGTCCACATACAAGAAGTGTTTTAACTTGACTTATATTTTTTTTTCAATTAAGTTACTTCCCTCCCAATATTTTTTTAGGTACGGGGGAACCCAAGGATGCCTTCCACTGAGCTACATCTCCACCATTATTTTGTTATTGTTGGTACTGGGAATTGAATCCAGGGACGCTTAACCGCTGAATCACATCCCTAGCCCTTTTTAATCATTTTAAGACAGGTCCTAAACTAAATTGCTTAGGATCTCCCTAAATTGCTGAAGCTGGTCTTGAACTCGTGATCCTCCTGAGCCACTGGGATTACACCCTATGCCACCTCATCCGGCCCCTCCTAATATTTTGCATGAAAATTTTCAAACTTAAAGAATAGTGGGAAGGGATGGGGATATGACTCAGTGGTAGAGTATTTGCTTAGCAACAAGACCCTGAGTATTTCAATCCCCAGGAACACACATATGCAAACAAAGTGGAAAGAATTATACAATGAACAACCACAAAGCAACCACCTAAATTCCTTCATATTTTATTATAATTTATTTCATAACTACCCATCTTTTCAACTCTATTCATTCATCAATCCATCTTATTTTAATAGATATTTTCATTGAATCTTAAAATAATGAAAGTTGAGATGGCATGTAATATGATCAATTTGAATTCTTTTTTTAAAATTTAATTTAATTTTATTTATTTATTTTTGAGAGAGAGAGAGAGAGATAGAGAGAGAGAGAGAGAGAGAAAGAGAATTTTTATTTATTTATTTATTTTAGTTTTTGGAAGACACAACATCTTTGTGTGGCGCTGAGGATGGAACCTGGGCCACACGCATGCCAGGCAAGCCCACTACCGCTTGAGCCACATCCCCAGCGCACAAATTTGAATTTTCAAATGCTCACTCTTAGCTGAATGAAACACAAACTGGAAGATCCTAAACATCCCTGGAGTTTGAGAGTCAGGCTCAAGCCCTCTTGTCACTGTTTAACTGTGTTACCTGTGGCAACTTTTCCTCAGTTTGCTCATTTAAAGTATTATTATCACAGATAATATGGTCATATTTGTTAATTTTCTCTTTCTCTCTCTCTATATATATAGTTATATACCTACATACACATATATAGATAGAAAGATATATAGATAGATACATATATAAATATAGATACATATGGGGAAAGTTAACAAATACAACTATATTATGTGTGATGATAATAATAATACTTTATTGTTATTATCATATATAGTGGGAAGGGAGGGAGAAAGATAAAGTAAATAGAGCAAATGTAGACAATCAGCAAATTTGGAAAATGTTGTTTGGGAATTCCTTGAAAATTTTATTTTTCTTTTGTAGTGCTGAAAGTGAACCCAGAGCCTCACACAGCTAGGCAAGCACTCTATCTCTGAACTATGCCCCCAGGCATAGTTAAGGTATAAAAGTGTGTGTGTGTGTGTGTGTGTGTGTGTGTGTGTGTGTGTATAAAGTTGTTGGTGGATGTGGTAGCACACATCTGTAATACCAGCAACTCAGGAAGCTGAGGCAGGAGAATGCCAAGTTCAAAGTCTTTCTCTTGGTTGTTCTCCCACCTTGTTGCCTGTTCCTATTCTCCAAAGCTCTCTCCTTTCCTTTCCTCCTCTGGGACAGTAATGACCATGAGAAAATCTCTCTCTAGCCCAATCCTCCTTGCATGTCGGGCCCCCTCTCCTTCCCTGCTTCAGGCATAATGGCTTTCCCTCAGGTTCTCTCATATGTCCTGCTTCTTCCCCCTTCACTTGCCCTCCTTCCATCAGGAGTGCATCTTCCTCTCCTGTATTATGCTTCTAAAAACTGGAAGAGAGCCAGGAATAGTGCCACAGGACTGTAATTCCAGCAACTTGGGAGCCTAGGCAGCAGGATCATAAATTCAAGGGCCAGCCTAGACAACTTGGGGAGACCCTGTTTCAAGAAAAAGATTAGGGATGGGGATATAACGCAGTTGTATAGTGCCCCTGAGTTCAATTCCAAGTACTGAATGAATAAATAAATAAATAAGACCAAAAGAGAGAATATTTTCTCTTCCCCTCCCCCTCAATATTGGAGTTTGAACCCAGGGTCCTTTACCACTGAGAGACACCCAGCCTTTTTCATTTTTTGAGTCAGAGTTTTGCTGAGTTGCCCAGACTGGCCTGGAAATGGACATTCTCCTACCTCATCATCCCAAGTAGCTGGGATTACAATGATATAGTCAAGGGCTCTATGCATCCAGAATTACACTGACAAAAAAGTGGGGAAAAAAAAGACATCATAAGAAAACTACCAATGAGAATTCATACCCCATTTGAATCAAATGTATGATATGTCAAGATCATTGTATTGTCTCGAGTAACTAATAAAAAATAAAAATTAAAAAAAAAGAAAACTACCAACTGATATTATGAACAATAGCACAAAAATCCTCCATAGAATACTAGCAAACCAAATCTAGCAAAATATAAAAAGGATTACACTCCGGGGGTGGGGGTATAATTCAGTGGTTGAGTTGTACTTAGCAGACACAAGGCCCTGGGTTTAATAATCACCACCTCAAAAGAAAAGAAAAATAGAAAGGATTATTTATTTATTTATTCCACAACTAAGTGGAATCCTAGAAACTCAAAATTGTTTTCATATCTGAAAATCAATGTAATACAGTATATTAGAAGAATAAGGTATAAAACCAACATACACACACACACACACACACACACACACACACACAAACTTTCAACAAAGTCAAACACCCTTTCCTTATCAAAGCCCTCAGCAAACTAGGCATAGAAGGGAACCCTCAGCCTTATAAATGATGTTCTTGAAAACACATAGCTAACATACTACTTTATGGAAAAAGACTAAATTATGTTCTAAGAGCAAGAACAACTTAAGGGTGTCTGCTCTCATCATTTCTATTCAACACTGTACTAGAAGCTTAAACCTGGACAATCAAACAAAAAAAATAAAACATGAGGCATTCAGATTGCAAAGTGAGCAGCAAAACTCTTATCCATAAAAGACATAATCTTACGTATAGAAAACCCTAAGGAATCTGCTTTTTTAAAAAACTAGAATTAAATAAAATTACAGGATACAAGATCAATATAGAAAAATCATTTGCATTTATATACATTAGCAATAAACATCTGAAAATGAAACTAAGCACATTTCCACTTATAATAGTATAAAAAGAAAAAATAAAAACATTAAATTAGTATAAAAAGAAAAAAATAGAAACATATTAAATAAGTGTAAGGCACATACATTAAAACCTATATTTTAAATGTTGAAAGAAATTAAGTAGCTGAAGGAAGGGAAAGACATACCATGTTCATGGACCAGAACACTTAATATTTTAAGATCAGAAGACTTAATATTTTAATATTACCCAACTGACCTAAAAGTCAGCACAACTTCTATCAATATTCCAGCTGGCTATTTTGCAAACATTGACAAAATTGTTCCAAAATTCATATGAAAATGCAAGGCATTCAGAATAGTCAAAACAATGTTGAAAAGGAAAAACAAAGTTGGAAGGCTCATATTTTCTGATTTCAAAACTTACTAAAAATATATGTTAGTCAAGGGTGTGTAGTACTAGCAGAAGGACAGACATACAGATCAATGGAACAGAACTGCAAGTTCAAGAGTAAAACCATACATTTATGGGCAACAGATGACGCAATGTGAAAAACAGGTTGGCAGTTCCTCAAGAGGTTAAACATAGATTTACACTTTGATCTGGTGAATGCCTAGGTATGTGCTCCAGAGAAAAGCATATATCCACATAAGAACTTTTCACAAATGTTACAGCAACTTCATTATGGCCCCAAAATGTTACCCAGACATCCATCAAATGATTAACAGAAAAAATGATATATGCATACAATGGAATATTGTCGAGCAATAAAGAAATTTAGTTTTGATACAAGCTACACGGACAAGCTTTGAAAACATACGTACTCACATATATGATTCCACTTATATTAATTAGAAAATTATAAAGTACACCAGTAATTGTCTAGCTCTGGGGGATTAATGGTAAATGAAGAATGATGCTACTGGGTGTAGAAATGCACTATAGTCCTGCGGATATAGAGTTTTCCTTTGGAGTGATGAAACTACTCTAAAAGTAGCTTGTAATAATGGCTGCCCAGGGCTGTGAAGGCACAAAACCCAATGAATCTGGGGCTGGGGTTGGGGTTCCATGGTAGAGCTCCTGCCTTGCAAATGTGAGGCACTGGTTTGGATCCTCAGCACCACATAAAAATAAATAAACAAAACCCAATGAATCTTACACTTTAAATAGGCAAATTTTACAGTACGTGAAATTTCTTAAGAAAACCATTTTTAAAAAAAAATCAGAAGAACCGAAAATCATCCATCCCCAGCTGCCTGTACATTTCGGGAACTCCCAAAGCCCAGGCAGCCACAGAGCGCCTAGGGTTAAGGCAGAGGAGCGAGGGGGCGGGGAAGAAATGGTAATAGCCTACGGAAATCGTCACAGCTTTCCAATTGTGAAATTGGAATGATCGAACGCGTGGCTGTAGCTTCTGGGTCTCTTTCCTGCGCCTTTCCCAAAGCGCAGCAGAGCTGATGAAGAAAAGTGGCGCAAAAGAAATCAGCCGGGGCCCCAGTTGCACTCACCGCCCCTCCACAGCCAGAGCCCGGATCCGGAAGTGGCGGCACCATCTTTGTTACGGGAAAACCGAGGCGTGAAAGGAGGTTACTGGAACCATCCTTGCTATGGGCAGGCGAGGACAATAGAAGGGAGCCCGGCCATCTTAACTGAGGGCATTTTCCGAGGCAAGCAGGTCACAGCACTTTGGTGATTTGGAGAGGACGCTTATTTTTAAGTATGCTTGGTAAATTCCCGGGGAACAGAAAAAATATTTAAAGTCTTTAAAAAGTTAAATTCCTCAGCTCCAGAAGCAGAGATAGGAGGATCGCAGCCTCAGCAACAGCAATGCGCTAAACAACTCAGTGAAAGCCTCTCTCTAAAATAAAATACAGAATAAGGCTGGGGATGTGCCTCAGTGGTTGAGTGCCCCTGAGTTCAATCCCCGGTACCCACGCACCGCTCCCCCCCCCAAAAAAAAAAGAGTTAAATTCTTACTATTAAAAAAAATTTAAACTAGAAGTTAAATAAAGAGCATGAAAATATTTTAATACATTGATTCATTCAGACAGCTGGACACAACTGCCAGAATTGTAGGACCATATCAAAAGAGACCAGAAAAGGGACTGTAAAAGACAAAATGACAACAAAGTCTAATCAGTGCTCTGAAGAGCTAAGCAGAGGAGGTTGGCTTTACAAACAGAAAAGGACTGAAGAAAGCAGAAAGAGAACAAAAAACGATTTGTCGGGTTCAGAGTTACTTTTATCTTTGGGCTAAAACAAGACAGACCGGTGTGGTGGTGCACGCAAGTAACCCCAGTGGCAGGAGAGGCTGAAGCAGGAACATCAAAAGTTCAAAGCCAGCTTCAGCAACTAGGGAGGCCCTAAGCAACTTAATGAGACCATGTCTCAATAAACAAACAAACAAACAAACAAACAAATAAATAAATAAATAACTTTATATATCTATATGAGCTGGGGCTAGAGCTCAGTGACAAAGCGTTCCTGGGTTCAATCCCCAGTACCAAAACAAAACAGAAGACTTCCTTATTACCCTGACAGTCTGACTAGAACTTCCAGTTTAGGGAAAATTGACTTCCAAGTTTTCAAGTTGGTTTATGTGGCACTTAGCACAAGGTGATACCATTCTGATTTAGTTTGGCCTGCTGGGGCCCACTACAGAGTCCAATCCAAATTAAAGGCCTTACATAAACTTTAACAAGAGTGATAGCAATTTTTCTATTTTAGTATCTTCTTGAGATAATCCTAAATACTCATAGCCTCCCGGAGATGTCTACAACTGGGATAAGACCCCACAAATTAGAAGTCCTGAATTCAAGATGAATATTTCAAACAACCCTGGCTGAGGTTTGGCCAACCACATGCCAGCTGCCATGAAGATACACAGGAGATATTCCCATCACTATCTCCCAATCCCACACTTATACAATGACTGGGTTTGGGGGATTTTGTTGTTGTTTTCTTGTTAAATACTCCATGTTTGCCCTCTCTTATCGCTGAGTTTTTCTCTCATACAAGTTTCCTCCCTTAGAAACATTCCTCTCTTCTTTGCTCTTTTTCATACATCTCAACTTTAGAGAATTCTACCTCCTGGAACCTTCTCTGATTTGTCAAACAGGAGTTAGTTGTCCATGTTCCTCTACTTATCCTGATTATTCTATATTCCTTTGCCCTTTCCACTTTCCCTGCCAAACTGTACCTGTCTCAGGGGCAAAGATCAGTCTATCTTGTACTCCAAACCCCAGCTCAATGACACACATATAACTGCTCAGAAATTGCAGTTGCGTGGATGAATGAATAGATCTCACCCAGGCATTTTCCATACACACCCTACTCAACCATTACACCTTCCCAGAACTCTCAAAGACATGATTTGTTCATAACCTTGTTAACAGTGAAACAAACCTTGAAGCCTTTTTGCCATTGTCACCTGCACTGGAGGGAAAAAACTGTGTCTAATTGAACTCTCAGGTATTCTCTGGTGGTTTTTCCATAATGGGGCTTGTCTTTCCAGTGAGCTTCTGGGAGCATGTTTCTTAGTCTAGAGTGACTTTCCTTGCCATATAGCACATCTCTGACCATCCTCTCTCATTAATTTCAGTACACAAAAAATGAAAACTAATTGAAGTAATTATGGAAACAAAATCTTAACTCTGCAGAGAGAGAGCAAAATCGAATTTGTTGCATTCCAAATGTAAATTATAAATCATTTTGGATTCCCTGCTCTTTTGTCATTGATTATATAAAGGTTGTAAAAATGAGTTATGTCACAATTTTATGAAGCTCTTTATATTTCACGGTTGATTTTCTGCCATCAGCTAAGCCAGCTACTTCAAACAAATCTCTTTTCAGCAGAAAGAAGTCATTTTAGTTGAAAAACCAAAATAGCTTTTTCAAAATAGGGTAGGGTTATTTGCAATTATCTTGTCACTCTTTGTCATGATGAACCTCGATCTATTTAATTGCTCTTTTACTTGAGAACTTGACTTTAAGAAATGAGAAAGGAAACAGCAAAAGTTTGAGGGTTAGGGACTTGGATTGTGGCTCAGCAGTAGAGCGCTCCCCTAGCATGTGTGAGGCCCTGGGTTCGATCCTCAGCACCACATAAAAATAAAAAGATAAAATAAATGTATTGTCCAACTACAACTAAAAAACAAATACTTAAAAAAAAGTTCAAGGGTTAAAAAATTAATAAGCCTCAAGATATTTTATTGCTTGTTCAATCATGCAATACTCTAATGTCATAATTAATAAACTGACAATCAAAAAAAAAATATGGATGGGTGCAGTGGCACAGGCCTGAAATCGCAGCTACTGGGGACGTGGAGGGAAAAGGATTGCAAGTTTGAGGCCAGTCTCTCATCAACTTAACTTTGAGACACGGTCCCAAATTAAAAAATAAAAAACGAAGAACCAGGGAAATAACTCAGTGATAGAATGCCCTTGAGTTCAATCCATAGTACCAAAAAAAAAAAAAGAAAAAGAAAGGCTGAGGCAGGCAGTGGGTAGGAAAGGCTGAGGCAGTGGGCAGGAAAGGAAAGAACAGGCTCGCTGTCAGCTAGACTGTGAGCTTCCCCAGCTAGACTTGAAGGTCTACAAGGAAGTGTGAGTTTTATTTCCCAAGAAATTCCCAGCACTTGGATAATGTTTCAGTCAATAACTTCTTGTATATTTACTAAGAACAAAAAGCTTGGACAGTAAAAACTAAAATCAATACTAACACAATGCTAGGCAAATAGTAAAGACTTTTAAAATCCTACTTGATGGACATTCCATAGTACTAGGAAGAAGACTTTCCTGGCAGCTCAAGTATTCAAGCATTTAATAAAGATCACAACATTTCACGATATTAGGGGCAGACATGTCTGATCCAACCCAGAGCCACCCTCAACTGTCTACACTCAACAGCAAAGCAGCAAGTGCCCTGAATGTGGAGTCAGGAGTGGACTCAATATGGATTCAAGTGGTTGAGTTCTGCTCTCCTACCAACCAATTATATGACTAAGGCCATTTAACCTGTCTCTGAGCCTTGATTTCCTCATCTGCAAAAAGGGAACAATAAATGCTTTCCAGTGTTGGTATATGCTTATAATCACAGTGGTTCAGGAGGCTGAGACAAGAGGATTGCAAGTTCCAGGTCAGCCTCAGCAAGGATAAGGCGCTAAGCAACTCAGTGAGACCCTGTCTCTAAATAAAATACAAAATAGGGCTGGGGATGTGACTCAGTTGTTGAGTGCCTCTAAGTTCAATCCCTGGTACCAAAAAATTTAAAAAATGTTTAAAGTTCTATATTTATTGTGCTAGAGTATTTTTCTATAAGCCTATGTTACTTTTGTAATTCAAAACAATTATAATAATACTAATGATAGCTAATCTTGGTAAAGTGCTCTAAACTGTACTAGGGGCACTAATTATGTTAATTTCCTTATTTAATTTTCATAACAATGCTGTGATATGCTACTATTGTTATATTGTTGCACAGATGAAGAAACTAACGCACAGAGATTATAATAACTTATGACAGAACTCATAAATAGCCAAACTAGATGAGAGATATAAACTGTAAATATCCTATTATCCAAAAAGAATGATATTTACTGCTACAGTTTAGATCCTGAATGTTCCCCAAAAGCTCAGATGATAAAGAATTTGATTCCAATGGGAGGTGATGGCTTGGGGTGGGGGTGGGGCCAAAGCAGTGGCTTACTATGTGCAAAATAGAACCATGAACAGATATACCAGCCCAGTCAACCCAGCTCTTGAAGCCAGAATTAGAAAGGCAGTCAATATAGATAGGTAAATCAACTCAGGTCAGATCAAGGAGGCCAATTTTGAGTGAGTCCCGTAAGTTGGAAACCCATGATCCAAAATAAACTTCTGAAACCCATGATCCAAAATAAACCTTTCCTCCTTATAAGCTGATTGTCTCATGTATTAATTCCTTCAGAGCCCTTCCTTCACTCTATCAAGAATCTCTCCCTGCTCCAACCTGTTGCCAAGGTAACCTGTCCCAGCTCCCTACAGGGAGCTGTAAGTTTGTTAATGAGTCCTGGGTTGCACCATCCTGCCCTTCCTCCTTCAGCCCACCTGTTTCCCACCTTTTGGCCGTCCCACTGAGCATTCCTGGGCCTAGTCACTTACAGGGAGGGAGAAAGATAAAGAGAAGAGGGCAGGAGAACAAAGGAAGCCTTGGACATAGAAAAAGGGCAGAACACCTTGCTTCTTGGGGTATCAGGATACCAGCTAAGGCCCCCTTCTTTCTCCCGGGAGAAGTCTATGTTACCCCTTTTTAAATAATCCCTGCTTCATATGCTTGCCTCGGTGAGCTTCTCTAATGTTCAAACTTCAACATGTTTGAGGAAGCAGGACTCATCACTGATAGCCAGCAGTAACACTCTCTTCCCCCTCATCTGAGCATGGTGCTTCTGGCTATTGGCATGTTCTTTACCACCTGGCTCCTCATTTATGGTATTACCTCCACCAAGTACACGT